ATTAGTTGCGTTTGAATTAATTAATAATAACTAGACTAAATATTCATTTAAATTCATATATTTTGGATTAGATTTAATGAAATGAAACCTAGATAAAGGATAGTTTCATCTACTAATTATGCTTGGAATAATATATATATATTTCACGCTCTGACTACATTTTTATCTCCATATATTTCACAAATTCTTGAAAAACCTCAATCTAATAATTGCCACTATCGTGAAAAATTTCATTCTCCTTATATTTACGAAAACTAAAGAACAATGTAGTTGGCTTTTTAAATAAATTTTAAGTTTATCACATTTCTAACAAGCTATTTATCATCAGTTAATTAAAATTTTCGAAAATTTATATTTATTTTGATATACGACTAATATATAGAAAAATAAATTTTCGTTTCCTGCTAAATGACATTTCTCCCTCTTCCTGTAGATATTTCCTTTAAATAATATTCACTAGATATAATCCTTCTTTCTTCGAAAATTTCTCTGCTCATTGTTATAACCATATATATTCGAGAAATAACGAACAAAGTCAATAAATACGGGAGAATAAAACGGATCTCTTTAGCTGTTAAATGATTTTTATCTTCCTCAATGTCGAAACGTTGAACCACGATTTCTTTGGGAATTACTGCATTTCATCGAGATCATTATACGAAACAGACAGAATGTTTAAAGACGGTGTTTCAATTCCAGAGAAGGAGCCTCTCGAACTGTCTGGTGCCGAGGAACCTGCTGATGGACAAGTAAAACTCAGCTGCAATCTTGGGGATGGTGTTTGCGCTCTACATTGTGTCAGCGAAGGAAAAGCTGGTGGCCGCTGCAAAAATGGAATTTGCTATTGTGTCCAGAAGTAAGAAGAAATGTCAAAAATGTCAAATATATCACTGATGTAAACCCTTATTAAAGTACCTATAGAAACTCTGTACATTTATTTTTGAATAAATACAACAGAACGTGTATCAGATTGAGCAGAAACCTGAATATTCATTTTTTTCTTGAGTCAAATTCCGATATTGGGGAAGAGATGAAACAAGAATGGGGGCAAAATAAAATATATTTTGTTATTTATGGGGATCGAACTTGCGATAGTTAGGAAAAAAAAGAACGACCGTGCGATGAATGTATGTATGTGGATGGGTAATAATGAAAACGACATTAGCAGTCGGTCTGAATGGATCGCTTCGTTTCTTGTAAACCATTGTAAATCCCTATTTATTTCTTTGTATTTAAAACTGTTCTGTTTACTCGTTAATCTATTCTTGTTTCCTACCTCCATCTACTGGGAATAACAAAAAAAGTGTGAAAACAATATTTGTTCTACAATGGTTCAAACTAATTTATTTTGATGAATTACGTATTAAGATCACTACTTAGAAATTCCAATTTTTCCTACGTTATCATGAAATGTACATTAAAAAAAAAATTGTAAATAAAGCGCACAATAAATTATTGTATAGGAAGCACATGTAAATGAAGCATTTAATAAATAAGTTATATTAATCCAAAAATTCCGTATATTTGTCTTAATTACGTGCAAAATATACGACAAAAATTTAATAAAAATACCAAAAGTTTGTGTTACTATAATTCTAAATTGTAATTTCTGATGAAAATACACATGGTTAGAAGCGTTGAACCTTTCTCTTTAAAACGCTTTCCGTTTCATCTCGATACGTCTTCCGGTTCCAGAGATATCGTCGTGTAAAGACAAAGATAATTTTCGACCGGTTCCTCTCTTCGTCCTTGTCGCACACTCGCCCCCTCACTCGCGCAGTATGTCGCTGACCTACCGCACGTGAGAGTGGTCAGTGACAGACAGATTTCCAGGAAAGAATATAGATCATGGCGTCTGGCGGCCAATTCAAGATGGCGGAGAGTCTGGCGCGAGTTTCAATTCACGTAAACTTCAAAGCGCTGTGTCTTCCGAACGGATTCAGATATCGGCGTAAAACGAAGCGCGTTTTAAATGGTACACTTTCCATTATTTTCTCAGAGTATTCTGCTTTGTCCACTACCTTTTTAAAGTATACTTTTAATTTCTTCTTTACAAACATATAGTGTATATACATTAGTACATACAATGATCCAGTTTCTCCCGATTAGACATGGAAAATTTTGCAATGAGATGCGATCTTTAATCCAAAGATTTCGAAAAGATGAGTCAATTATTAAGAAACGTAGAAAAATCGGTACGCATGATTTCTCAAGGAACAGAGTGAAAATGAGATTTGGAAAAGGCGAGATCTCGATCGTTTTAGGTGAAATTCCATACTTTGACGTTGGATCCCATTTGGAATACGATGATATCGATGAACGGTTTCAAAGAAATTTCGTTGAATGTTTTGCGGAGAATTTAATCGTTCAATGAAATATAAAATCATTTCGTTTCGTTTCATGAAATGTAAACCATTCATATTAAAAACTATGTGTTAATAACATTTTTAGAATTTTAATATACTAGAACCTATCGTGAATCTGTAGAATGTAAATAAATTTTTTACTTGGAATGATTTGACTTTTTGTCTGTTATTTACTACTTGATCGACTTCGGCTGTTTTATTTGTTATTGATTGACTAGAACAAATTCGATGTTCAATGCTTTCCCGTGTCTTATGTTTTGGGCTCAAGTAGTATAGATCAATGTATGGTCAGGAGTACACAAGTAGATTTGCTCGTTTTAATCGGACTTAACGCTAGCTACCTGTTCTTATCTTAAGTGTAGTAGATTTCATCTAAAATTGAAGTATCTATCTTCGAAGCAAATGAAGCTAAGATTTTGTATCTTCAGGGTATCTTTTCGAGTATCGATCGGTGGCCATTATAATCCAAAGTAATTTTAAAAAAGAATTGAGAATTTCGTTAGTTAGGAGTTACTTTTAGAGACAATGAAGTATAAATTATACATGTGTACTAATACTTCGTTTATAATCTAAAATCTAAAATTTCAATAGTTTACGTGGAAAAACCTATCGATGAATTCGTAATAGAGCTCTTTTTGATATAAATACATTAATATACAATACATTAAATATAAAATGAAATATAAAATCATTAATACATTAAATATAAAATTAAATATAAACTATAAAATAATTTTAGATACTAATTTTGTATTTTGATAGCTGGAGTGACACTGCAACGGATTTCATTTTACAATTAATTATTTCACTTGGTATAGCTCTCCGATTCACCGTTCTTTAAGCGTGGAGTGCACTAAAAAACAATTCATTGACTTTTTCACAAATTCTGAGACACGAAGTTTCTCTTCACATCTGATCTATCTGTTCTTTAGTCAATAATATTATCTATGGTTTCATCTTCCACACGAGTCGACAAAGAACAGCGAGTAAGCGGAAACGGTCTTTTTCCTCAATTGCGAGATATTAATAAACAGAAAAATCCAGTTTTTCCAACACACTGACTTATCACCGCGGAAAACCCTCTCTCTCTCTCTCTCTCTCTCTCTCTCACTTTACGGTGAATCCCGGTGAATCCCATGTGTTTGAAGAAAGATGATGTACACTTTGTTCTTATGAGCAAGACCTAGGGAACAAGGATGTGTTTGTCAGGTGTGAAATATTTCCTATTACACCGGAAAATATTTTCTAATTACACTGCACATGATGAAATTGCACGTGATGCAATGGAAGAGCGAATTATTAAAACCCTTATTAGAATAGAAAGAAATGTAACTATTTTAAATTATTTATTAAATGTCCGAATAGGATTCTAGCTATTATAATTGAGATTCTAAGTTGAGTTTTATAATTTTTTTTTTTGGAAAGGTTGGTTTGTTTTAAAAATGACAAATGGATCCAATGTTTAATAAATTTATAGAAGTAATATGAAAACAGTAACAAGAGTATTAAAAAATGGTACAAATACCGAACATTACATGACAGCAGAAAGTTTATAATAATTCGGAATGAAATAATAAAATACTACTGAAACAGATGTATCACAATCTGAATTCTAATTTCTAATTTTACAATTTTTACACTGTATTAATTTGTATTATAATTCAAAATGTGATTATCATTCAAATTAGAAGCATGAAGGAAAAACTACCGCATTCTAATTTCTATTGTAAATATGACACACCTGTTAAAGTACACAGAGCAATTTAGTAATTAGCTATTATTTACTTGAAACATGTTGCAATAGAAATAACATTTTTCCATTTGAGGTGGCAAAGTGACAAAAGTTCATTTCAGGGGCATACCTGTTCGCTAATAAAAAGACACTAATAGAACTCAACTCACGTTTAACATACATTTCTACACACGAAGTTCAATAAACACGGAGTCGTATATAAGTCGCGCGAGCTATCGTTCATTTATCAGAAACTTCTCATTAACAGTTTGTCTTCCATCGTTTTCGACACAGTTGATCGCCGAGTTTCAACAAAAATTTCAGTCAAGATGGTGAAGATGTATTTTCTTGTCGCTCTTCTCTTCGTCGCTGTAGCCGCCATCATGGCAGTACCAGTGGGTGAGTGAAAGGAAATTCGTTTTAATTAAATAATTCACGTTGTTGCAATTGTTCAATTATTTAATTTTCACTTCGTTTATTTTATTCCTACGTTTTCGAAATTGAAGTTGCGAAAATAAGGTTAATATTCTTCCATCATCATCGTCACATAGACACGCCTAGATTCTATAATTTTATGAAACTTCAAGAAAGTGAAACATACGTAACATTATGATATGTTGTTGTTTGATTTCATATTTTATAAGTTTTCAATAGAATTTCAATTTTTACTGGCTCTAATTATAATTACTAGTAGTAGCATTTGTTGTAAAACGGAAATATCTTTCAATTTCCTATTTTTAATTTTNTGATGCAATGGAAGAGCGAATTATTAAAATCCTTATTAAATAGAAAGAAATGTAACTATTTTAAATTATTTATTAAATGTCAGAATAGGATTCTAGCTATTATAATTGAGATTCTAAGTTGAGTTTTACAATTCTTTTTGGAAAAATTGGTTTGTTTTAAAAATGACAGTGGATCCAATGTTTGATAAATTTATAGAAATAATATGAAAACAGTAACAGGAGTATTAATAAATGGTATATATATCGAATATTACATAACAGCAGAAAGTTTATAATAATTCGGAATGAAATACTACTGAAACAGCAGTATCACAACATGAATTCTAATTTCTAATTTTGCAATTTTTACACTGTATTAATATGTATTATATGTAATTTGATTTGTACTATAATTCAAAATGATTATCATTCAAATTCGAAGCATGAAGGAAAAACTATCGCATTCTAATTTCTATTATAAATGTGATATCTGTCAAAATACACAGAGCAAGTTAGCAATTAGCTACTATTTACTTGAAACATGTTGCAACAGAGATAACCTCTTTCCATTTGAGGTGACAATGTGACGAGAGTTCATTTCAGGGGCATACCCGTTCGCTGATGAGAAGACACTAATACAACTCAACTCACGTTCAACATACATTTCTACGAAGTACAATAAACACGGAGTCGTATATAAATCGCGCGAGCTATCGTTCATTTATCAGACTCTTCTCATTAATAGTCTTCGACGTAGTCGATCGCCGAGTCATCAAAAACTTCAGTCAAAATGAAGATCTATTTTCTTGTCGCTCTTCTCTTCGTCGCTGTAGCCGCCATCATGGCAGTACCAGTGGGTGAGTGAAAGGAAATTCGTTTGATTAAACAATTCACATTATTTCCATTGTCAAGTTATTTAATCATTTAACTTCAACTTTTCATTCTCACTTTTTTGATCCTCACTTTATGTTAGCAGGTTTTACATTTACAAAACAATGTTTTTTTCATCATTTTGCCTTCGCCTACATCCTACAGTTTTGCAAAATTTCAAGAAACTGATACACTCGTAACGTCATGATAGGTCGTTGCTGGATTTTTGATAGATACTTGGGCAATATTTGGCCAGTGTAGTGTCATTTGATTCTAGATTTTATAAATTTTCAATAGAATTCCTTGGCTCTACTTACAATTACTTGTAATAGTAGCAGTCGTTGCAAAATCAATATCTTTCAACTTTTTTTAATAGTTTTCATTATTCCAATTTTTGGAATATTCATTCACGCAAATTCATATTTTTATGAATAGATTTAATGAAACGAAAACTAAATAAAGGACAGTTTCATCTACTAACTATGCTTGGAATATTTGTATATTTCACGCTCTGACCATATTTTGATCCCCATATACTTCACAAATTCTTGAAAATTCTCAACCTAATAATTGCAAAGTATCGTGAAAAATTTCATTCTCCTTATATTTATGAAAACTAAGAACAATTTAGCTGCCTGATTAAACAACATACTCACTTACCCAATGAAGGGCCCAAAAGGAGAATGTTAATTTTAATAAATTTTAAATTCATCACTTTTTCAACGCTCTCTTTATCAGCAGTTAATTAACATTTTCGGGAATTTATATTTATTTTGACATACGGCTAAATACATAGAAATTTCTCCCTTTTCCCGTAGATATTTCCCTCAAGTAATATTCACCAGATATAGTAATTGTGTGATTTACTAGATTAAATAATTTTCTCCGAAAAATTCCTCTGTGACTGTGACAGCCAAGTCAGTAAACACAGGAGAACGAAACGGATCGTTTTAGCGCGGATCTGTTAAATGATACACCATTTTTCTCTTCCTCAATATCGAATCTAACGATTCCTTTGCGTATCATCTACCATAAGGAAGGCTCAGAGACGATGTTTAAATTTCAGAGGAGGAGTACGAGCCTCTCGAACTGCCTGGTGTTGAGGAGCGTGCCGACAGACAAAGAAGAGTAACCTGCGACCTTCTCCCCATCAAAAAGTCCGCTAAAAACACTGCTTGCGCTGCTAGATGCCTCAGCAAGGGCAAAGCTGGTGGCCGCTGCAAGGAGGGAGCCTGCAAATGTCGCAAGTACGTGATTCCTCTCACTTTCGGTTCCTTCGAGTTACTTCGACTTAGGCCAATACTCAGTTTTGACTCGAATATGATTCGAGGAAATATATGATTTTTCTTGCTCCAGGTCCATAATCAAGAAACTCTTCGGCTAAAGTTCACTTCTACCAAGTTCCAATAATGGAATTCTTCTGTTCAACGAAAGAGACACATGAGAAGAAAACGCAACTATTCTTGAGATATTGACAAGTATTAAAATACGCTTATTTCATTGTACTGAATCTCTCTTTAATGAAAATTTTGTAAACCTTGACTTGCTAAAATTTTTTTGGCTCTAATAGTGTTGGCAATATTGACGATTAAATTCGATATAGTATTGTATTATAGTATTAAGAACCAATAAAATCTTCAAAAAAGAAAAGACACAAACGTCTGGATGGTATTTCTTAGCCTTCCTGTTTTCATTCGAAATTAATTAAATTGTCATTTCTTCGTGTTCCATGTTTCGGGGGCCATTTGACCTCCGTACCATTTTCATGTTATTCTACCAGATCAATTTAGGCAAGTTCTGCACCAGCAGCGTCTCTAAATTATAAATTTATAACACGAGGAAAATTGCAACAACAGATCACGAATAATCATGACTTCAGAATTTCATAACGAATTGGGATCACGTTGAAATTTTTCTTTCAAAACAGCAAGTGGATGAATTTTCTAAAGTCAATTTTCTAAGTATACAATGAAAATTTTTTACGATTGTATTTATTTCTTAAAATGAAATATTTATAATTAGGGCTATAGGTGACTGTAATAATTTTCAGGCTGAAATTTAGAGCATCTTACGTTTTCTATGATAAAGTTAAATACAGTTAAAAACTTCACAGTTATTATGTAATTTATCTTCAAATTAATATCCCTGTTCCCCA